CGAGGGCGCAACATGGACCCTTCTAATATATGGCCATTTTCGGAGAAGTTAATACTCGGGCTACATGCCGAGTTGCCGGATCGTAAATTTCCATTTTCCGAGACTTTACAAAAAGACTTAATGAATTCAGGTTCAGATTTTGCGACAATCGTGATGCATTCGAGGGTCAGTTCGAGCAGTTAAATGTTACGAAATGTTTGAGAGGAAAATAAGGGAAAATGAAGAATGGGGAAACGAAAGGTGGAATAGAAAAATAAAGAAAGGTGAAGGAAGATGTAATGTATAGATTTTAGAATTCTTATTATTTCTTCTTTCTACTTATCATCGTCATTATCAGTAAATTACCATCATCATCTTCACTTATGTAATTACAGTTACTACCAACGATACAGTAGTAGCCTTAGTAGCAATAATAGTATTAGTAATAGTAGTAGCAGGAGTAGTAGTAATAGTAAAAGAAATAGTAGTAGCAGTGCTAGTAGTAGAAGTAGTAGAAGTATTAGTTATAGTAGAAGGAATGATAGTAGCAGTAGTAGTAGTAGTAGAAGTAGCAGTAGTAGAAGAAATAGTAATAGCAGTAGTAGTAGTAGAGGAAATAGTAGTTGCAGTAGCAGTAGTAGAAGAAATAATAGTAGCAGTAGTAGCAGTAGAAGTTGCAGTAGTAGTAGAAGAAATAGCAATAGCAGTAGTAATAGTAGAAGAAATAGTAGTTGCAGTAGTAGTACTAGAAGAAATAATAGTAGCAGTAGTAGCAGTAGAAGTAGTAGTAGTAGAAAAAATAGAAGTAGCAGTAGCAGCAGTAGTAGTAGTAGAAGTAGTAGTAGTAGAAGTTGTAGTAGTAACAAAAGTAGTAGCAGTACCAACATTAGTAGTAGTACTAGTAGTAGAATAGGAATAGTAATAGAAACAGTAGTAGTACCATTAGTAGTAGTACCAGTAATAGTAGCAATAGAAGTAGTAGTAGAAGTAGTTGTAGTAGGAGCAGTAACAGTGACAGTAGAAGAAATATTAGATGTTAAAGAAAGAAAAGAAAAAGAAAAAGAAGAAGAAAAAAAAAACGATAAGAAAACATCAAAAGCCTGGAAATAAGAATGAAAAAACCGGCTCTTTGTACAACGTCTCAGCTCGTTACCTGGGCGGGATCTTTGAGGCGTCTCTGGACAAACAAAAGGAACAAATATTTTAAGGGGCAGTAAACACTATAGAGTCTACTGTTACTAATGGCTACTGGTGCGTTGTTCGTATGCTGTTCTCTTTTTTTATTCTTATTTTCAAGATATAAATAACTTGGGTTGTTCTACTTGTATTTTTTTTTCTTTTTCTCGGACAGTTCGCTTCGTCTTAGTAAAGTTCGTCTAAGAAAGTGAGGTTCATTTCGGTTTAGATTTGCCGAAGAAGGTTTGGGTCGGTTTGGTTCATGTCGGTTTGGTTAGCGTGAGAGGGTTCAATTCGCTTCGGTTCACCAAATTATGATCCGTTTGTGTTGTGTCTGGCTTGCCGAAAGTGGTTCAGTTCTGTTCGCCAAAGAAGGGCCAGTTTGGGTTCATTCTTACTCGAAGATGTAGGTTTGCTCCGGTTCAGTTCAGATCTTCTAAGGATCACTTCGCTTTACTTCTTCTCAGTTCGACCAACCTCAAAAAAAAAAAAAAAAAAAAAAAAAAAAACTATAAACTCAATCCCATCAGACGCATCAAAGACAAGATCGAATCAGTTCGGAACGCTTCGAACCTCCTTCCTCCCCCCCCCCCTTCCGTGTTTAATCTCCTCCAAGGACGATCCAGCGGCCGGGCAAAGAGCACTGCAGTCTTACCCTCCCCCCACCCCACCCACCCACCCAAAAAAAAGGCGGGGAGGGGGTATTATGCGGCTGGCACGGGCGGGACGTGAGTTATAGACGATAACACCAAGCGGCCATTAACTAAACAAATAGCCGTTTTCCATTCTACACAAGGACGGAGGGAAAAAGGTCGGCCAAAGCGGGAGATTTCGTTCTATTTTTGCCATCGCGTCTCGGGTCTTCTTGGCTGTCTCGTCTGGACTTTCCCGGGCTGCGATGGGTCTTTGGTCTTGATGCATTGCGCTGTTGTTTATTTCCTGTCTTTCTCGTATCATAAAAAAGGGGGAATGAAAACAAATACGCCGAGTATTTTGTTGTGAATGTTATGGGCAATCTTGCATTTTTGAAATCACTGCCGTATATATAGTTGATGTGATTTCGCGAAGATTTCTTTATCGCTGTTGTCGTTTTGAATATATTATCACTATTATCCTTGCTTTTGTTATTATTGTTTGCTATCGTCATGACAATCGTGTATTTGTTATTACTATTGTTATTATTATTGTTATTATTATGATAATTATTAGTATTATTATTGTTATTATTATTATTAAAATCATTATGATCAGTATTATCACTATTATTGGTAAATTATTATTATTATTATCATTAGTATTATTATTATCATTATAATTATTATCATAATTATCATATCATTATTAC